ACAGACAAACTCACTGCGATCAATACCACCGGCATAGTTGACGGCTTCCACCGGGAGCAGCTTGAATGAATATTGTAATTGAATTTACTAGGGGGTGAAATCTTATCTTTTTAAAACGGTCTCTCTGTCTTTCCCCTCAAAAACAAGAACAACACCACCGAGGCAGCAGGACACGCTCAAGATTGAGTACACCAATGCCCAAAGGTTGTGCCTGGGCAGCCTGTGGGAGCTTGCCGTGGTAGAGGTGGTCCTGTGTGCATGCTGGACTCGTAGTGGGCTCAAACAAGCTGTAGCACAGGCTTGCCAAGAGTGAAGTAACAAATTGGAGCAATGGATGTGCATGTCTGTTTTACTGGCTAGATTGATCCAAGCCCCGAAAAGATTTTGGGGTGCCATGCAAACATGTCATCGATCTATTTGGGTCTGACCTGAAAGCCGTGAACGCATGGAAGACTTCCTGGAAGACTTCTTGGATCTAATAACTTACACTTGCCCCTACACCGGCAAGAAGCGGTGCGCTGCCCAAGCTGCGCTGGAGCTGAGTGGTGAGACGAAGAAACAGAAACCCGCTGGACAACAACAGCTTTTAATCTTTCAATGTCATGTAAGGGGATTTTTCACAACATTTTACTTTAACCTATCGATATATCACCAAATGATCCCAAAACACATCATATTTATTGTTTGAAGATGGATCTTTTATGTGTCGAAGGGTTGAAAGAGCCAACAGGTGTTTGTATACACAGGAAAGAACGGAGGTCCCAGCACCTTAGAATATATGAACAGTTTATAGCATTTTGCTGCAAACCAGCTATAGGCCTTCCTTTACAAGACCACCTGGGCAGTTCCAAAAGCTGTCCGACGAAGCTCCTCTCTCCAAAGTTGACCCAGCTGCTCGAGCCGGCTCCGACCCTGCAAGTGCTTTGGGCAGTGTGGGTAAGCCTTTGGATGACTCATAGACATTAAGAAACACTTTGCTTTCCTCTATAGAGTGTGCATATTTGCAAGGTGTATATATATATATATGTTTGCGTGCGCATTTTTTGGTCACGGAGAAGAACTTTTGCTGCGCAAGGATTCTGAGAAGCAAGACATCCTTGCATTGTTAGACTCCGTTTGCCGCAGTCATCCCTTGCTGGATGTTGTTCTCTGGGAAGATTTCCAGCGCTGCCTCATCCACAACAGAACATTGAGGGTTCAGATTCCCAGTCCTACGTGTGGGAAGATCCTGGCTCATGCCAGGCAGCAAGTGATAGCCTTTAGGGAACACATAGGGCTGAAGGTTTGTGTGTTCAAGATCGGAATCACGGCCCATCCTGCTCAGCGATTTCCAGATTACTTGCGCAAGAACTTTAGTACAATGTGGATTGTTTTTATGAGCAGCGATGCATCTCTAGTAAAGATGCTGGAAGCAGCATTGATCGCTGAATTTTGCAATTGTTCTGGCTGCAGAAATGCACCAAACACCGGTGGAGAGGGACGTTTGGGTGGGAAAGGCCACGCAGGACCTCCTTATTTTACTTATGTCACAGGTGGAAGAGCCGACCAGGCAAGACGTGTTGGATAAGTTTGACAATTAAACCATATCCTTGCCCTCTTACCTTCAGCCTGTGCCTGGTGCAGCTCACTGATTGGCTGCAGTCTCTCAGCTAGGGGAACTGCTGATTGGCACTAAAAGGTGCTAGAGTGGGTTCGTAGGGTTTTGTGTTTCTTCATTACATCTCTGCGAATCTCAAGCACAGTCACCGCAATGTTGGAGCTACGGTCAGCCTGGCCTTCCTTCTCTCATGCCAAGGTGCGTGGATGCTCTGAATCTGTGCACACGTTCCCAGCCTGGTTCCCAGTTACCGAGTGTTTACAATATGGCTTTGATCGTATCCATTCGCCAGATTTAACGCTAGAACCGGCTCATCTGAGGCCCTTCATCTCCCACATCAAGTCCAAGCTGAAGAAGGAGCAAAAGGAACGGGAAAAGAAGGAAAACCCTTCGACTCCTGCTCCAAAGCCGAAGGCCAAAGTTAAAGTAGAAAAGAAATAGTGTAGGAAGTAGACTCCATATGTGATTTTGCGGGGAAGTCGCTCCTTTGTGCGTGGAAAGGTGGTGCAATTTATTATAGGAATTTGAAGCACTCCTATATATAGATGTGTGTCATGATCATGTTGCTCTCGAAAACTGTAAGCCGTCAGCCCTGTGCCACCCTTCGCTTGCACTGCAGAATGTGAGCGGCTTGAAGTGGGTCTCACACAAGGTGTCCAGGTATATCCTTGTGCTGGGTCGTTGGGTGATAGAACATCCAATGAACTCTTAATTTCACTGCGTATGGATCCTACGCCAAGCTCTGCTCGTAAAACCAGTTTTTGGGCTGCAACGCAACAGTCATAACAAGTGACCCTATAGAATCTTTTGTGGCCCAGCCAGGTTCCAAACCGGATTCCTCTGACGGCAGCTCAGCTGGACCTCTTGTGCAACACATTGTTGAGAAGATCGCTGATGGAGCCCTTTGGCTCATTATATAGTTCGTGTTTTGGTAATGAAGGATTGCGAATTAATTTAGCCGGACAACCTGCCATCCCACCCTCTGAACCCTGCACCTGCGGAGGCAACTGCTTCTACACTGCAGGAGCATGGGAGTGCCTTGCAAGAGGAGATGGCGGGTCACCCATTGAGTGGCCTGCACCATTCTACAAAGTCCATGATGGGGCAAAGCAAGACAAACGCTGCACGGCAGTACAAGCGAGCCACAAAGCGTTTTGGTTTGGAAATGAACCTTGCCTTCTCTGAAGGTTGATGTTTTTGTTTTCTTGGAAGTTCTTTGGATGAATAAACAAACTGTTGAGTTTCAACATCAGGAGCGTTCCATCTTCCATTCATCGCTTTGAAGAAAACGGTCAATTGGCAGAACTCGAGTATTTGAGGGGCAGGGATGTTCTTCGCTACTTGCTGCGAAACTATCCGTGGACTCTTCTGGGTGGCTTGGACCCTGGAGAGGATGCCCAAAACATGCTAGAAACCTTTTGGGGGCTTTACAGAAAAGAGCATCCCACCCACCAGATTTTTCAATTGGCCGATGACAATGACAGCACAGTCCGTTTGAGATATTGTGTGCCTTTGATGATCCACGGTGATGGTGGCCGTACTTTGAAAAAGCAACCTCTTGAAGTAATCAGTCTGCATCCAGTTCTTGGAATAGACACTGTGAAAAAAAATGCCACTGATTCTTTTCAGTGCACATGTCAGACTAGAAAAACCTATGGTGGTTTTGACACAGCCCACCCATTGGCGCAGAAACTCAATTCCAAGCACCTCACCTATTTGACATACTTCTTGCTGTGCGCGTTCCCCAGCAAGAAGTTCAAGAAACTTCCTGGGCTTTTGCTGTCTGTGCTTGGGGCTATCTCCCACGATTTGGGGACACTATCAGTAGATGGCATAGCCCTTGACAATGGTCAGGTCTATCACTTTGCTATTTTGGGTATGATCGGAGACCTGGAGTACCATGCCAAAACAGGTGTGCTGAACCGTTCTTATCAAAATGTTGGGCACAAGAACTTTATTCCTTGTTGCCACCTATGTGCTGCTGGCGGTATCAACCATCCATTTGAGGATTTTCGCGAGGATGCCTCCTGGAAGGGTACTCTGTTTCACTCTCCTCCGTGGAACAGCCCGCCGCCGTTTCAACATGTGCTGTTTGAGGATTGGTCGACAGGTTTGGCAGCTAGATGGTTCAGGTTGGACCCCTTCCACTTGTTTCGGCTGGGTGTTGCACGAAACTTCATAGCATCTTCTGTGATGCTGCTGGCCTTTGAATGTTTTTTTGACTTTGTTGCTGGGGACTCCAAATCAGTTGATGCCAGGCTTGAGCGTGCATGGGCACAGTTTTCTTTGTGGTGTGATGCGCATTCGGCCAGGCCGACAGGCATTCGTGCATTTACCCGTGAAAAGTTTCACGCAGCAAAGAAGACAACCTTTCCATGGGTTGGCTGCAAAGGATCTGATTCAATCGTTTTGTTGAGGTGGCTAAAATGGTGCTCCGGCCTACATCTTGTGAGCAATCCAGACTCGCAGCTGCTTCACTATATCCACCGGGCATGTGAGCAGGGCCTTTCTTTGCAGGGGATTCATCGTCATGGGGTTTGGCTCACAAGTAGTTGCCGCATCAAGCTGCAAAAGAACTGTCAACAATTTATTCATTCATACGCGTGGCTTGCGCAATTGTGCCTTCAACGTCGGTTGCAGCTTTTTGCACAAGTGCCTAAAATGCATGGCATGGCACATATTCAACACAGGCTCTCTGTGTGCGCTCTGGATGAGTTTTGCTGGAACCCAGCAAATGACGATTGTAGCATGGCAGAGGACTTTGTTGGAAGAATCGCAAGACAGAGCCGACGGGTGGGACACAAACATGTTGTTGCAAACACGGTTCATGCTTACAAGGTGAAGGCAAAGATTGCACTCATGCGTTTTCATCGGAAGCGGAAGCTCGACACTACCTGAAGCTAGAAAAAAAGTGCGTGGGATAGGGATCGAACCACGTCGGGCCGCTCACCAAGTTCCACCGAGTTGCGACAAGGATGTTGATGAGTACAATGGCGCCATGCAGTCCCATGGCAATGACGGATTTTAAGACAATTCTTTCACCTGTTCTGATCCCTGATGGAATGACCACGGTGGGTACATGGAATTTGGTAGAAAAGATATGTCAAATGTTTCCAACATGATCAGCACCACCATGGTATGTTCATGTATGTTCAGTAGGTTCCAGCCAAACTGCGAGAGGCAGATTTTTTTGAAGGAGGCGGAACCATTACAAAGAGGTTGAAATTTCAACAAAGCAGCTCAGAGGCTAAAAAAAAGCACAGGGGGAAGTTGCAGGATAGTCTATACAGGTCTTTAAACAAATGACCAAAAATGGTGGGCAGGGGTCCTAGGGCCCCGAACCAAAACCCAAACGCCGACGCCACGATTCACCACGACGGCCCCCCACTGAGTTCGCCCGAACCTCAGGCTGAGTCCGAGTCGTCGTGGGTCTCGCGCGAGCGCTCGCGCACGTAGGAGAAGTCCACCTGACGATGGCGGGACCGAGCCTACTAGGGGCTCCTGGCATCGCTACTAGGAACAAGAAGCTAGTAGAAACAAGTGCCACGGTACTAGTAACAAGCTAGTAGTAACAAGAAGCTACGAACGGGGCTCCTGGCCTAGGACGCTACGTACGGGACGAGCGCTCGCGAAAGAGGCGGACCCGACGGAACGGACGCCATGGATGACCTGTCCGGGACTGCCAGTCACTGCTCCAGACAGAGCCCCAGTCAACCACACCCTGGCCGTTTCGGCATGGACTGGGACCCGACCCGAACGCCAAAACAGGTGGACTGGGGCCGACCTGGTTCGGCACGAGACTCGACTCCAGTGACGACGACGGGTTCTCTTCGACGTCGGGGCCGCACCCAAGTCCATGGAACTGCTGGATCCTCGATGAAATAATGTGAGTAGCTGGGGTGAGTTTGTTACCAACCGCGGAAGGTGGATCCACTTGACTAGAAATCAAATTTTGATAATTTGGGTGCAAGGCGTCTGGCGAGCAGTCCACAGTCGCCTGGTTTTCTTCTTCGGTTCCCCAGTTGGCTCCCAGGTGTCTATCTACACCCTAGGGATCCCAAGTACCGTCTCAGAAGGTGATTGGAGACACTAGTTATAGTTATGTAGGGGCCCCTAGGGTCCAAACCGCACCTGAGAAGGTACGACTGGACCCCTAGGGTATGTTTACTGATTTATTGTCCAGCTGACTGACTGAACATTGGGACCTTCCCCCTTCTTGTTTTGTTTTTATTTTTTCGGCTGGACTGGTTTTAAGGGGGTTAAAGGGGGTTAGTCTCCGCTGTAGCTAGTGGTCGCTTTCCTAGCATGATTGACCTAATTAATGAATCAACAATTAGCTAATTTATGAGGAATCCATCCCCAAGTCCGATGTTTCTTTCGGATCCCTTTGGACTATTCCTTTGGCGCTGGTTGTTCGTCGTGTTTTTTTGCGTCAACGAAGCAATGAGCCCCGAAGGACCCTGGTCGAGTTGACCTCGGCCTGGCCCAAACACTCCATGTAGAGCATCGGCATATGCCAACATTGACCCCTTTTCAACCACCCTAATGTATACCTGGACCATCCAATGGGTGTCCGTATAGTCCATTGGACACCCATTGGATGGTCCTGGTACATTTATAGGCTAAATATGGCAGTCGCATGGAGTGTTTGCTTGGGAGTCCAGTCGACGTCATTCTTTTTCACTCGGGGACCGTGGCCCGAGGGCTTTTGGACACTCCCTCTCTTTCAAAAGACCCTGGACCCGATCTTCAAGTGTCCAAAAAAAGAACGGCAACGGCATTCTTTATCCTGTTTTTGTCCAAACCATCGGTGAAATGGTTCACGATTGGATATAATGGTCTATACTTGTACCCATGTGCACCGAGCGACGAACTGGACTAACCACCGTGCTCCGCACACCGTTTCGCTCTGACCTTCTCGCTCCGACCCGCTTGGCTTCGCCCGACTCCGCTTCAGCCCCGCCGACGTCGGGGGCTCCGCACCGAGGGGACGCGCTCAATGTGGAGGTGGTTCGGGAGCTCGGAGTCCATATTGGGCAAGTCTGGGGTGACGTAGCATCGCTCGCTCGTTTCGGAGAACAAGAGAACAGCCGAGCCCCGTTGATTTGACCAAACCACTGGGTATCCAATAGACTGCCCTATACCATCCTATACCCTACTTACAGGTCTCCATTGGGCACCTGTTGGAAGTGCTACAGTGCTAGGTATAAATCTAATTCATGTATATACCAGGACCCTCCAACAGGTCACCGGAGGAGATGCTGGAGGGTCCTGCTACCTTGACTTTCGTTGTGCCTCCGTTCTTGAGGTCGTACAAAAGGATCCCATGTTTTGTCCTTTTTGGGGTCGCTTTAATGACTATTGGTGTCATGCTTCTTGTGGGAACCACCAACAACACCACATCCAACTGACTCAACGTCCCCACACGGTCGCCCTCCAAACGACCGAACATGTTCCGCTGGGATGCGACGCTCGGACGCTGGACGGACCTGTCGGTCGCATAAATGCGTCACCGAGAACGCGTCCGGGCTGGACGTCGTCCGTACTTGTGGACGCGTCCACAGCACCGACCCACTGAAAAAAGAATAGCACTTGTGGAAGAAGAAAGGGACAAAGGGGACAGCAGTCCTTGGACCTTGTGCGACAAAGGGGCCGGAGTTGACCGATCACGCTAGCCTTTTCATTGTTGAGCATGCTCCCCCCCAAAATGGTCACATCAACAGAGTATGGTGGGCCTACCCGCAGCGTCCCATTGCAAAACCGTATGTGTTCAACATGCTGTTGAACAAGTCATAAAAGACCGTAGCAACTCTCACACAAGTGGCTCCAAATAATCAAAGCCGTAATGACAGAACAATAATGGTCAAGATGGTCAAGCCCGCTTGACCCCAAAATTGTATTATGGTTTTCCAGATATACACGCTTACATTGGCCCCGAGTCAACCATCCCAATGTAGGATATATTATATATTCCATATATTCCCACCCCAACCCGGGATTTCGATGGACAAAATCTTGAAGTTGCTGATTCAGAAGCTGTGGAAACATCGAACATAGATCATATTCATATGATATTCCCCATGCCAAGGGGATGAACACCCAGAAGCCGGGAACCTCACAATCACCCGAAAACCGCATAGCAGTATAGCATAAACCCAGAAGCTCATCTGCTCATCCAGCGACAAGGTGATCTCCTGCGACACCGTTGTGCTGCAGTTTTTGCGAATCGCAGGCGAGTTCGGGGACCTGAAGTCCCCGAAGTCGACTCGGAACCGTACCTCGGAAAATGGGTGCAAATCTGATCTAATTACCTGTTGGTATAGTTCGGGTCATGTCCCATTTTCTAGGAAGTCGGGTCCAGGTATAGTTATCAGGTGGAGAACCACGCAGGAGAACTTGCTCCGAATACCGCCTGGAGAACGTAGTGGACCGCCACCCGAGCAATGTAGCAAATAATTAACTTATAAAACCAATTCCACAATAGACATCCTGGAGCCCCAAACGACCAGAAACTTAAGGGTTGTTCCATGATGTTCATGGCTTGCTTGCGATCCTTTACATAGCAAGTGGTTGGACCGTGGAAACATGAATGAGTTTCTGGTTGGGACTGGGTCTTTCATGGTTCCATCCTGGCAGCTTCCGCGGTCGAACCCGTTCTCTCAGTCGCTGCGTTTCGACGTTTCACTGGTTTCCAAATGATGTGCAAAGCTTGTGCTTGTCTAAGCGTTTTTTAAAAAGTCTGACTTGTGAAGTCCTAACTTCTGGAAGTTCAAAAAGTTTGAACTTTTGGTTCCAAATCACATTGCAATTTATAGATCGATCTTTTGACTTGGTCTTTTCGGTTCGTGACTCCTCCGAATGCTCGTTCGAACAAGTGAAGAACCCCGAGAGCGGGCTTGCAAGAGGGGTGGGCACAAAAAGGAGTCTGTGACAATCTGTGAGACATGTCCCTCTCGAGGTATCACACCTGTCCCAAACACTCCATGTGTGGGATATGTATGACTCAAAAAATAGCACCCCGACATGTGACTGCTGGTGGAATGAATTTCATATGGCCTACATTGACCCCCGGTCAGCACCCCTGGCCGTTTCTCCGCAGTCCTCAGTCCGGTCAGAGGTCGTGGGTTGTCGTGAGTGGAGAGCATGCTGTGGAGCAGCGAACGGATGTGCGGAAGCCAGGAAAACCTATGAAAACAACACATGTCCCCAAACCAAAAAGGATGTGCACCTGCCGGTATGGGACACAAATCACTCCGATCCAATCCCCAAAACCCAAGGGTCCCATTCCAGATCCCCGGGCTGGTGAGACGGCGCGGGCGCGATTTTCAGCGTCCTCCACCAAAAGCCCTTGAGCCCTGGCGATGCATTGCGCTCTCCGACAAGGCGAAACGATGTCAGCACTGGCAAGGTTGAAGATCAATGTAGGATTCCCTCCAAGTCCATGGATTAAAAGAAGGACCTCTGCCAAGAGGACCCTAACAAGGCCGAACGCCCTCCAAGATCCGTGGTTTCGGACAATGGTCGAAAGGGTTGGAGATGAATGTACTCCCCTGCGGTCCACATGGAAACCCAAAACCAGGGTCGGGTTCGTATTCAGGAAATGGTCGAAATACCACAGGTCAATTCTCAGGTTCTATGGGATCGTTTGCGGGGGAGTAGGATTCATGCCATCCTCCAAGATCCGTGGTTTTTGGACCCGCCCACAGTGTGGTTTCTGGGCACTGTAATTGTCACCAGGAAACACCGAACGTGTCCGGAGGGTTCAAAGATGTTCAAAGTATTAGATCTTCCAACTGTGGGTGGGTCGTGTGGGGCTTGGTTCATGATCAGTTGGCTAGGTTTGGTTGATTCAAGTGCTCCACTTTGATTGGCGGATTGAGGTGGCGGAAAGGGATCTATTCAGGCGAAACCGGCCAGGCTTCTGGCCTGGGAGCTTGTCCTGGCTTTGGATCTAAAGGAAGGGCCAATTTAGGGGTGGTCTCATCCGAAGTCTTCCAACTGTGCCGAATCTTTGGCCTTTATCATCTATATTCCAAAACAACCAAGTTCAGCCGACACTCCGTAGGACTGCCATATTGGCCGAGAAAAGGCCAGGGGTGGTTGATTTCAGGGGGTCAATGTAGGTATGCCAGTCCCATGGAGTGTCTCCGACAAAATCCCAGTTACCACTGTAAGGAGCCATTCCTTCCTTTTGGTCCGAGGTTTTCGTCCTTGTGGGTTTCCCATTCGGTGACCGTAATTGGATCCCCATCGGGTTTGAGGACCTGTAGCAGAAATCCGGGTCCGACAATCCGCGACCTCGTGGGCTTCGACCTGGATCCGATCTAATCGATCGTCGGTGAACCCGACCGAAATCCGATCGAAACACGCGTCCTCCGCCGATCCATCCGGACATCGTCGATTTCGAAGTGATGGGGAAGTCTCCGAATGTCCCAAAAAGATGACGTGCAAGTGAGTAGGCCTGGAAGATGCATGCCTCATGGACGTACACAAAACGAACCTGTTTTACACCTGCACAAACATTGATGTTTGCAGCAGCCAGCTTGGTATCCTCAACACTATGCTCAGATGATCCGTTTTTGAGAATGAATAGATTGGATTCACCAAGTGTTTTTTCCAGATAAGACGTACTATATACCTGTAAGAGAAAGAACCGCCACCCGCGGCGATTCTTCACACCCCCACCGCCCCACCGCCAAGCCGTGCGCACCTGGAGAGGACTCGATGCGTCTTTGGCATTAGCTCTTGCAGCGTCAAACGCTTTCCCTGCGCCCCATAGCGCTCCCCGAGCTTGTTCAACGCCTGCAGAATGGGTTTGGAGAACTTGATTGAGTAAGTTGCCAACACTTCTGATCTGTTTTCTAGACTAATATATCAAATGACTTTGCTCATCAACCAATACTGGGTTTGCGGTTGGAGGTTGAACATGTTCCTTCGAACTTCTCCATGTTCCAGTACCTCTATAGTACTGACCCTGCGCAATCATGGGATTTCTAGGTCCAGGATGGTCGGATGGTCTATCCACACCCCAAACTCTACAGTATGGATGGCATCATCATGCCGCCCCATTGACCCCTGAAATCAACCACCCCTGGCCTTTTCTCACAAATATGGCCGTCTCAAACAGGTCGTGGAGACATGGATGCATTGATGTGTAACATGTGGAAAGAAGCCGAACCTGAGGTCCAGCGGAAGGTCTACGGAAAAACACGAACTCCGGCAGCGAATTCATTGGGTGAATTGGCGTTGTCTGGTTGGAGGCCATCTCTCCTAAGCTTGGAGGCCATTGCTATTGGCTTGTTGCCCAAAGTCGACTCCCTCCACCACCGCGGTCGTGCGCGGTCGTGCACCACGGTCGTCCACCTGTACAGCGGAGTAGTCTGCGACGTGCCCAGTCTCAAAGACCAAGCGAACATCATCAGGGTCCTGGCGGTTTCAGTGGACCGTTTTGATGCCGCTTTGGTAATTGCAAAACACCACCTGTTTGGGACGTCCCAAGTGACTTCTTGTGTTTTTGCGGTTCAGGCCAGGGGTGGTGGAAAAGGGGTTCACGTAGATATATAAAGTTACATACATACTAATTATATAATATATATATATATATACGTGACGTATCATGGAAGGTTTGGGTATGGACCAGTTGACGGATAAACACAAGAATCACCAGCAAACATAATAACAGTGATCAGACATGTGACCATTATCGTGGCCAAAACCGCCAAGAAGAACAAGCTATGTGACCTTAGATCTTCAATATAAAATAATATAAACCCAAACGCTCACATTTGGTGGAGTTCACGTAGACCAGGTTTGCTCACATGGAGCGTTTGGGAGCAATTCATGGTGCTTGAAATGAGGCAAAGAAACCACATGGTCTTGGGATCATTTAACGGTCTAATTGGAAAGCTCGGTAACCCATGTGTTGAAACGAACCACCCCCCCCTCACCTTGCGAGAAGACCATTTCTGAAGAGATGAGCGGAACGACCTGTTGTACCATGACAGGTTGGGGATTCAGGCTATTCATGTAAACTCTTGACTCATAACCCCCCTGTTTGAATGCACTCACGTGCGGACTCTGTCGCGTCCACCCGATCCCATGCGCAACCTGTAGCGGTATGAGAACCACATGTGGTCAGTCCATTTGCTAAGTCAAAAACACATTTTGATGTCTTTTGTGGAAGGGTTTGCTGAATTGACTGACGCTAAGTTTGACCTCGAGAGGTATGGCTTTGCCAAACACGGCCCAGTGATGTTCCGCTACAAATGTACCAAGAACAGGGACCATGTATGGCTGCTGGCTGCTGGCTGGAGGCACGGACTCTTTACAGAACCACATGCGCTTATTGAGCTGCTTTGAGCCCTAGGATTCCTGGTCCACCATTGACCGTTGATACTCCTGACTCATGAACCCCCCTCTTATGAAGAGGATGTCCAATTCAAACAGACCACCATCGTTTTTTTTGTCCCATAGTTTCTCTAGCATTTTTCTCACACAGACCACCGACAAGTCGCAACTCTTGTGAAACATAGAAGCTGCCAACCTTCACCCAGCAAGGCCAATCAAGGCCTAACATTTATTCCCACAACCTCGTGCTCGATATGGAGGTTTCCATAAATGGGGGTGCCCCAAAACCGATGGTGTTTGATTAAAACATCCATTAAAGTTGATGATTTGGGGTCCCCCCATGCAAGGAAACCCTCATAGTGTTCATGTATGAACATGAAGGTTTCTGTGGCCTGGAGTGGCGCTTGGTGCTGGGGTCCGTCATCGCTGAGCATGGTCATCTCCTTTATACCAGATCAACCTCTGACTTGCATGCTTCTTGGGAACAACTGGTCTGCCGGGGGATGCCAAGATGTCCACATCAACATGCTTTCAACTTGTTCTCTGCATTCCCCCCAAAGATCCATGTCTCTGGTGAGGCCTCCTATATTGTTTAAAGGTTCCTTACACTCCCTAAGTATGAATCCCTGCCGTCCTTGCGTGCCCCCCGACAGTTTCTTGAGGACACGACATGTCGTAGACATGACTGCGCTCGCGACGTTTCGGTCGAGTCTTGCGCCGGCCTTGGCCACGACCTGTTCCGGAAAGAGGTCCAAAAAGTGCGTGGTGCTACCGAAGAAGAGCGTGCCATGCACCTGAGGAAGGGACCGACCGGTTCCGGTGCGGCACGGGAGGGAGGGAGCCTGGCACGCCGGTCTTCAGAGCTGCAGAGGGATTTGGCCGTCTCTTCGGAGCTCACGCGTATCCGGAAGAAAGGGGGTAGATTCTGTGGTGGATAGCTGCATGGAAAATATGCACCAACAAGAATCCAAGTATTATCCGAAATACATGGACGAGGGACATGATCAGAACCTTGGCTTTCAGGGGACAAGTTGAATGCGTTTTCTTTGGGTTCGGTTTTTGAAGTCACACCTAGCTACCTAGCTGGCCTGGAATTTGACATGCCCATGCGCCGCTGCGTTCAGACATTTTTCGAGCAAAGGTCTTCCCACCCTGCATATGGTCCAAAACCCTTGTCAAAGCTCATGCCACAACCAGCAGCTTCAAAGAACATTGTTTTAAGTCCCCATCCACTGAGTGGATGGAACTGCTCCGCGGGCACGCGCCCGTGAAGCAAGCACCCAACTCGATGGAGCTGTTGGCAGAACTGGGTGTGATTGGGTGTCAGCTGTTCGCCAGGGCTGGCCCGCATCCCCAGGTTCGGTAGGCCAGGGGTGGGTCTGACCTTCTAAGCTCATAAGAGTATGCTTGGAGCCCAATAGAGGTTATACATAGGGAGAACTCCCAGGCGTTCCGACCCACTGGAAGACTGCAATGAGACCAGTCTACCATCGCCTACCCCAGGGCCAGGGTGTCGAAACCTGTTAATATACACAAATAACTATGGCAATGGGCCATGGGTCAAAACATGCAGCCCTGTGCACCCGGTTTTTTTCCCGAACGTGAACCGATTCCTCGTCTGTCCAGGTCAACCTACCATGGTCCGGTGAAGGTGGGGAAGGTTCACAGCATCCGACGGGCGAAAGTTGAAACCCTCATCTGGACCACCGGAATGATGAGTTTTGTTTCAGTCGCCAGAATTTACTTACACTCCCTAGAACTAACATGGAAGTGAGAATGGGTCCTTGGAAGACCATTTTCCTCCACAAACAGGGGGGCTGTCCACTTCCAGATGCAGAGATGACTTAACCCTGGCACCCAGTCATCTCGTCTCAGATTCCCCTCGCTTCTTGCTCCGAACCGTCGCCTCGGTCCGCTACTCGGTCGCTTCCTCCCGCTTCGACCGGACCGTGGCACATCATAGACTTGGACGCCGTCCGTGGGTTCCCTCGGCACGACCTGCACTGCGTTGGAGGTCTCCAGTGCAAAGGTGAAGAGACTGACGACCTGAGATGATGCAGACTGACTAGACACGCAATGTACCAGCTAGGATCATCCAGGATTTGGGTCTCCTGGCTGGAGGTTTAGTGTAGCAGTGTAGGGTAGTCTATTGCACACCCATATAGGTTTTGGACTGACTAAACTAGACACTCCATGTACTCAGCTGGCATGGACTAGGACAACAACAAGGGAGGGCCCTGGGGTCTGGCACAATGGCACAACCACAGGAAACAGAAGGAGGCCAGGCAAAGAAAGCAGTGGTCTGCACTGCAGGATGACCCTCCTGCCACCTATGAAGAGGATCTGACTGCCCACTTGGAAGCCTTGAGAAAGGCGGTCTCCAGTGCAGAGAAGCAACTGGAAGACCTGGCGAGGGAAGATGCGGACTGCGCTTGCGTTTCAACAAGCGACCTGGGCCCAGAACTCCAACTCGTTGTGGTCCTGGTGACGCCAGCTGAAACATTGAAAAAGGAAGCTGCGCTGAAGGAGAAGCTGGAAAGGCCTGAAGGAAACCTTGAGAAAGGATGCCGAAAAACCAGGTCCACCCAGACAACTTGCAGGCCTTGCACACCTTGGCTGGCTTGGTGGATGTCCACATCCTCAGCTATGTGGCCACCAAGCCAAGGGCACATGCCTTCTACAAACAAGTCGAAGAACTTGTGCTCCTTGACACCTTGAGAAAGGTGAAGTCCACAATGGTGGTGTGGACAAAATGTGGGGCTGAAGGCAAGAGTGCTGGGTGGGGGATGAAGCACTGTTTGATGATCAGCCAAACATCCTCAGTGAAGCGAATGAATGGGGCTTGGTGACTTTCCCCACCAGGGGCCAAAGCACCATGAGCGCTCCAGCTCCACCTTTGCAAAGGCTTTAAAACAATTTGACATGCTGCCTGCGGGTGGTGGTGCTTCCAGCTCCTTGAAAAAGGATGCCTCCCAGAAAAAGGCCTGGCCAGCCAACCTGCATGAGCTGCAGTGCCTCTTGGGCACTGCTTTTGGCACTTGTACAGTTTGAGCAGCTGTGCTGGCACCCTTCTTGTGACATATAACCTCAGTTACAGTAATGTAAAAAGGGAATCACATGTTGGTTGACTTGTCTTTGTGTTGGTGTATTTGGCTGTGTTGGTTTGGAAGGGTGGCCAGCCAAGCTACTGGAGAGCTGAACTTGCCAAAAAGGCGGGTGGTGAAAGACAATGACAAATAGACCATTAGATATATATATATATACAGTATATATATTGTTTATTTGTGTTCAATTAGATTAATGTATTCTTAAATCCAAATCTATATAGAACAAGTTAACTATCAATATACATTTTTACTATATTTTGAGTTAAGCTAAAATTATTTTGCAAATTAAATTTACTAATCTAAAACATGTTGGCAGAGTGCGGCATACAAGTTTCATTATGTTTGATCTTTAGACCTTTTAAGTTTTTGTTCTAGTCTATTTACATTTTTTGCATGAATCATAGTCACATAACTTCCTAAACAAACTAACAACTTAGTTTGTTTTAAGTGCAAATCAAGTGTTCATGCATTGAAATTAGAAATGCGCAGTCATTTCCCAACAATCAACCTTGAAAGGGGTACATAAGCACACATCCAAGATTTGGCCACCAATCTTCTGTTGTGAATTTCCAAGGACAATAATATGGCTTTACTAATTTCTTTGTTTTAAAGATTTTGATTGCAAGACAATGAGAACATAAGAAGCGCTCAAGAGTGATCACTTTTGTTCACTTGTCATTTTTGGGAGAAGCTTTACATTTTGCAAAGGGATTGACTTGCCAGATCCCTTTCATCTTGAAGTGCCTTGCAAGAACCCCAAAACCTTGAAAAAGGATTTTGAGGTTGCTGCAATCTTTTTGCCTCATCTCATGTTTGGAAAGCTGGCTACCTGCAGCAAATTTGAGACCATCTTCCCTGTGGAGCTTTTGGAGCTCTGGGATCAAGCAAAGAAGACTGGAGATGATCGCCTGCAGGGCCACCCCCATGAACCGCTGCACGAACATTGGTGTTCTCGGAAGACGCAGCGGGCCTCTCTCAGCACATCATTGCAAAAAAAAGTTCAACTTCGCTACAAAAGGATGCTTCGCATATAGGCCACATGGTTTTTGAGGAAGCCTTGCACTGCTTCCCACGCGGCTGTGTAGACTGCAAGCGCGGGCCCGTCTAGGATGGTGACCTTGGTGTCAGTGATGTGTTCCTTGAGATCCATTTGTGGCAAGCAAAAAGAAACTCGCTCTCTGCAACGGGCAAACCTTCCTTGAACAGGTCTGGCATCCAAGCGGGCAGGAACGTGCACCCAAACACCGCTTCTGGCTTGTGGGCCCACGGCGCCGCTGTGAGCCGCTGGTGTGCACCCTGGCTGCCCATCGGCAGCCGGGAGCTGAAGAAGTACGTGTTGGAGCGCAACATTGTACTGCCCCTGGTCGGTAGTCACCGCAATCTTTTCGCTGTTCACCCACGTACATAGGGGTTTTGCTACGAGATACATGGTTGTCAGGACTCAACCATCACACAATTGGACAGCTCCTGGAGGCGTGCTGGCTACAAAACACATGTCAGGAAAGCATGGGATGCTATGAACTGACTCACGTGAGCTTATCACGTGAATCAAACTGACTCGGACCTTCCTCTTCTTCAGCGGCTGAACTTCAGCGGACCATCCCACAAAAGCGAACTCAGCATCGGACCATGCCAACAGCTACAGCTGTGGCGAGGTCGGTGAAGAGAGTGACCAAGGTCACGACTAAGATGACCAGCGCGTCCTGTACCGCGGTCGGAGAAAGTATGTCTGGAGAATCAAAGTGAAAAGACAATTTCCAAGAACGTTTGATCTTGGTGGTCATATCAAATCCTTAGTAAACCAATGGTTGACTTGGTAAAGGCTACTATATACCAAAAATCCTCTGGCATCGAGTGACCCAACTTCCCACCTCTTGGATCCTTGTGGGGAAAAATAAACCGTCCAATATGTTTGCTGCAGGAATCCTGCGGAAAAACACATCTGTCCCAGTGAAACGAGCTGTCCGAAGCTTCGAGCTGCTCCAACATGTGGGAAAAAGAAAGCTGTCCACAACGATTTGTGCCGGTGATCTACTTGTCCCACACAAATTCTACAAAGTTCCAAGGTTGAGAACCTAAGAAAGGGCCTTTGGTGTTGAAGCCTTCTCCTCAACACCCCAATGTTGGGTGATGGTCGTTCCCTGAGCCAACATTGTCTCCCTGAGTTGCGTGGAGAACTTGTCAGTGTCAGTGGTGCTCACAGGTGCCAATAGTTGCATTGCCCAGGTCAAGAAATGGGAGACATGTTCTTCACAACCATGGTCAGGAGTCTGCAAAGCATGGTGACACTCAAGGCCTCAAGGCTTTACTAATGGGACTAGAGAGTTTGCTCTCCAACCCCAGGTGGGCATGCGACCGTAGACCGTGCGACCGTAGACCATAGACACTGCCCCTAACAACGGTGCAGTGTCTAAACAGCAGTTCTTTGCGGGGCGTGTCCGTTGGATGGATGGAAGTTGAAGCATTGGCATTGAGCATCCATGTCCCTATCATCCACCTCAAGCCCAACTTATCATCTGAAACTTGGGATAAAAACAAACAAACACATAATGGCACCAGCAACACTTTTGGGAACAGGAAACCTTCAGGGTGTAATATAATAAGAGTCAAGACTGTGTCCCCTTCAAAATACTATCCACAACATTTTACAACTGTTCCAAAACCTGCTCGAACTCCTGTCGACTATTGATATATCTTGATATTTCATATCTGGAGCCTGAGTGAGGTGACCTGTATTTTGAAGCACCAACCACCCCAAATATGGTCAAACTTCTTATCAAAACAAAGATACAAAGTCACATCGATATCTCTCCATCTCTCTCCATATCTGCATGAACAAACTCTGCTGTCCTACATCCCGTCTCCAGAAACACCGGTGGCGCTCGCAACCGGTCCATACGGCGGATCTGCTGCGCAGCAGTCTTGGAGCTCAAGAATTTCCGTCGCACACGCAAGGGACACCTGAAGGGGTGAACCGACATCCAGGTGTCCCTTCTGACGCACGACGCGAAAAGCGCCACGGGGACTGGACTGAGCATGAAAACAAATATACCTTCCAGGACCATCCTGTCTGGGTGTCCAATGGACTACGTACCCTACTACACTATATATATATATATTAAGGATCTCCAGACAGAACACCCAGACAGGATGGTCCAGGTTTATACTTATATCAGTTATAAGGGATATCAATCTACCATGGTTTGGTGGGGAGGTTTGGACTCACAGTCGGTCCAAAGATGGTCAAAAGGAGACAGCTGGGGAGTGGTGGTCCTTAAAAAACCACACCGCCAAGCCATCGAGTCATGTTGTGTGGCTTCCACGTGGGTTCGCCTGGTATGTTGCCTGGGTCATGTGTCCTGTTTGAAACCCGGTCGTACCTGGAGTCGACCCGGTCGGACCTCGGAAAATGGGGCCCCAAGCACCTGTCCCAGACACTCCATGTATGGTATATATGCTTACATTGAACCCCCAAACCACCCCAATGTAGGCATACATGGCATACATGGAGCATCTGGGTGTGTTTATTTAAACACTTTTTTTCGGGTCATGTCACGTGTCCCATTTCCGAACGAACGACGTGGGGTCCCTGCGTGACCTGCGTGACGTGACGTCCGATTTTGGGGGGGCACGGTGCCAGCATGCCGGTTCGATGGACGAGAAGCACCAAACACCGAGTTCTGAGTGGCAGCCTAGGCATCAAGATGTCATGAGTTACAGGTGAGTCACGCAGAATTCAAAATACCATTGGGACACCATTTGGGATACCATTTGGGATACCATGAGAGCAGTTGCCCTCGCATCGTGTGACTGCTCTCTTTCAATACGAAACTGGTAAAGAATTGGATACGCTCCAGGAGTCACATGGAGGGCCGAGCCTAAATGGTGCCTCCAGGCTCGTCCGTCATGGTGCGAGCTCAGTGGATGTGACGGGGATGGCCTATGGACACCCCGACTTCCTCTGTTCGTTCGACACCCCGAACTCATGACTGACTCCTGGCTCTCAGTGGGTGACTCCTGACACTCCTGACTCCTATTGATCAAATAAGAGACATCCAAGAATCGACGACTCCCTGGCAGAATGGACATAGACCTGTCTACCCTGTCTTGCTTGGGCACTTGGGGCCTTCTCTAAGTCTTCACCTTCTCCCAGACCCTCACCGGATTCCTTCTCCCAGACCCCTCCGCGTGGACCGGCCGAGCGACGCCGCCAAGATCATGAGTTTCAAGGAGCTCCACTCAAAGGTGTGGAAACACACATTGAACCTGAGTTCTTGTGGACCCTCCATGGGACCTGCAAATTAAGGGACCATCCATGAGCTTCATGAGCTTCATGGGACCTCCAGTATGGGACCTGCGAATACTTGTGGAATACTTGCAAATGATATAAATTTAAAGCATAATTACATGGACACCATGAAAAAATGAACCTCAGTCAGTATATATATATATATATAACTCATTCTTCCAGCCCCATGACTCTTGAGCCCTTTTTGGAACAAGGAACCCCTTGACCCCCCACGACGTGAAGGGTCCGGGTCCGGCCGATCAAGGCGTGGTGGATAGTATGGACTACCTATATTGGGCCCCACATGGCCCCATACAAACACCATGGTTCTTCCCGAACGCAACAAACACCTGGTGCTTTAGAGGTGAAAACCTTGTTTTTTTTGATGGTTTGTAGTTAGTGGGCCCCTGCTAGTGACTATGTGTTTGTGTAGTTAGTTGACTAAAAGGAACTGGAGATAGTTCCGTCAACCTTAGCCTCTCCAGTTGACCAACTCTGAACCCCAATCTACATACCTCACGAAACGATGCACGGATGGCGCTGCTACGATCGGTGGAGGGCGCTTCTTACGCCGGCGCCGAATCGGAGCTGTGCTGAGCGGTGGCCGTGAAACGAGACGAGACGACCCACGCAGTGGTCGCTTCTCGCTCGCTGGTGCCAGATGAACAAAGAACCTGGAAACATGGTGCCAGATGGTGCAGCTCCCTGGTTTCAGTGGATGAATTATGAGGTTGAAACAATGGGACATTAAACATCATGCAGAAGAGATCCTCGTCCTGAAGCCTGTTTCCGCACTGTGATGGGGGTAGATGAGGGGCCTACCCCTCTGTTTGTAAGTGCTTTGTTAGGGAAAGAATCAGCTATCGGTGGCATCGCAACTTCCCATCTCAGACCTAAAAGCACACCCTCCCTGGAATCATGGTGGAAGTGGATGGCATTGGTGCCTTGGTTTCCACTTCCATGATTAATTCCCTAGGGATCCAAGTACCTTCTCAGAAGGTGATCGGAGGCACTGTTATGTAGGTGCCAGTAGGGTCCAAGTACCTTCTGAGAAGGTATTTGGATCCCTAGGGATTCAGGAAGTGTAAACCTCTAATCGACAAGTTCCTCCACTCGATGAAGTCAACAAGTTCACGTAAAGAATCCACAGCAGCGCCAAGACACATCACTCCAACCAAAGCCGAGACTGGAATCCTGAGCAAGACGACTCTCTGTGGCGGAGTCTCTGCACAAAAGGTGGATCAAATAAGATCAGATTCCTAAAGAGCGATGGACCCCCCAAAAGGGTCCAAACCCCCACCCAGCAAAGACATGACAACCTGTGCGCAAGAGGGCATTTGTCGGGCCTCCCCGCCACATTCAAGAGATCGGCACCCCTTTCACCTCATACCAGCGCATGGACCACGGTCATTTTTGTGGAACACGTCTTTTGGAGCAAGTCTTCTTACACTCCCTGAAGTGGATGGCATGGCCTAGAAAGGATGACCTTTGCCGAAAAGGTAGTTTTCACTCCACTTTAACGATTTGTTCAGGGAGTGTATTGAATTAGGGAGTGTATGTTTCATGTTTTAAGTTTTGACGATTTTTCTGCTGTGTCTGGCACAGCTGTTCTTTTTCCACCACCTAATCGTCTGTTCCATGCTCCATCTGGACTTACTCATGGAGTCCTTCCTGACATGTCTCGTGTTGGCCGGTTCCCCAAAGGTCACTTGATCGTCGCCTGCCACCTCACCGGTACCCCTCCTGGCGCCTACGTAGACATAAATACTCTCCCTGCTCACCGTACCTCAGGTTCGGTATGTGGATCCATAGGGACAACACCCTAGTATACTGGCTGCAGGGTGATTCGCAGGGTCACGTGTTTGGCAAATTTGGACTTCACCCCAAACAGCTGACAAGGCCGAACATGCCACCGAACTCAACAGCAAGCAAACTCACGGCCCTTTCCACCCAAAGCGCTTCTTGATCCCATCATAGGCCACTAGCACGATGATCAGCAAAAACAATCCTCGCGTCGCGGCCGCGGTGCCGGCGACCCGGTTGCGTGGCGGTGCGTCGTTTCAGCCGAACAGTGACCTCGACCCGGTCGGGTCCGGGTCGGCCAGTGCACATGGGTGACCGAGTGAGGGTTTTGGGTTTCAACAGGTGCAACACCCGGTTTCCCGTGAACGGAACGGGTTGAGTCCAGACTCAGTTCGCCTTCTTTGGGCGGCCCAGCTCCGATCTGGGAGGGTAAGATCCACAGATCTTAACTCTAGTGACAGGCATTTTGGACTGTTGAGTAACCGTCCATGAGTGGAGACTTTGAATCCGACTCCACCCACCATTGATTTAAATCATATAGGTTTTACCGAACAGAACCTGGTCAACCATTTTGTTTAATGGGCTTGGAAAGCTAGGGAATAGTTTTTATGTGTTCAAATGTTTGACATTGTTTAACACTTTGGGTCCACACATACCAAACCTGAGAAGGTGGCAGTGGGGAATAGCCCCCGAGGGTGTGTCGATGGGCGGTATTTCTTGCTGATCCGAAGGAGCAAAAGGAGTTGTTAGGCACCGGTAGTAATCATCTTGATCCCATGGCTATGACCTGTTAGTGACAATCCCAGGGGCCCTCAAAACCATGAAGAACAAATGTTTTCACATATAAAAACATTTTTTTTTTGCTAGGGGAAACCATGTTCTTGATGGTTTGTGGGGCCCCTGGAATCGTCTATATTACTGGAGCCCGTGCTCTTGTTCGAGCTGTCTTCCGGATGCAACCTTCAAAGCCGTACTAGCGAAACTTTTTGAATCGATATACACGAATCAGACTACTAAAACAACGTACGTGTCGTGTTTCAAGCACGACATACCTGCGAACTCGTGGTGGTTGCTCTTTTGGGGTCGGTAGTTCAACATACGCTTGTTTAGGTCTGTGAAACCACATAAATATCCGCAACCAAAATAAACATCCTTTGAAAAAAACACGTTCGGGAAGAATGCCCGCGGCTCACCAATACACGCCCGTAGCTTGTGTATAAACGGCCGTGGAATATCAAACAAATCAGACAATCTAGAGAAACATCCGCAGACTCCAGTATAAGGCTGTAACTCCCACAGATATTTTAAAAAACACTCTGAGGAAGTTGCAGGTATTCAGCCACTCATCTCCTGCAGTCCTTCCTCTGCCACACCCTACCCCGCCCTCACTCGCACCGCTCCTGCGATGAAGGAGGAGGCGCGCGTGCGGGCGCCTGAACCAATGTTGATCATCGACCTCAGAAATGGATGTGGTTCCAACGCGCGCCGCAGCCCCTTCTGGAGCCTCTGGAGAGTGCGAGGGCAGCCACCGGGCAGCCAACAACTCCCAGAACGTATGTTTAGGGGTGATGTCTCCAACCATCTCCCCCTTGGCGGGTCCAATCAACCCCAATTGACATGTGGAACCTGGACCTTGTTGCGACCCATCACGAAAACCAAAACATATCCATATATGGGCCATGGATAAAACACCTGGAGCCCCCGCAACAGCATGTACTTAGCGACAGACCTTCCCGGTGGGTCAACCACGCTCTCCTGGTGCCATGACCCACAACCATATCAAAGCCTCCATGCACTGGCTTCCGCCCCCCCATGGCACTGGCCGAGCGGCTGTCCGATCATGGCACAGCCGCCCATGCCGCCCAACACACCGCAGAGCACATTCGCCAAGCCTGCGCACGCACGTCCACCGCAGAAACCTGCACCCTACAGGTCCTTTTTTTTTGCACGAGTACGGACGCCATGTGTGCGGTGTGCACAGGTCATCATGTGAAACCTGCACCCTACAGGTCAATGACTGCTTCTTGACTCCATAGGACTGCCATCTGCGTTGGGAGGGTTGATGAAAAAGGCTTCATGTACCGCCAGCTTCTTCAGTTCATGGACCGACCTTGGCAGTCCCCAAATGACCAAACAGGTCTGGGTCAAGTGACCTCAAAGCAGGATATCGCGAGGTCCCTTTGAAGAAACAGGTAGGCATATATGCCAATCCCATTGGTCGTGTCTGGGTCCAAGAGTGGCAGAAAGGGCCACATCCTAGAACACTTCGGTCAAAGTCTGGGATGTTCAGGAATGGACCGCTTGTGGGAGAAGTCTTCTCCAATTCCGACGATTGAAAAACAAATTCCGGCAAATTCCGCTGCAGATGCTGCGAATTCCGTCGGGGGGGTCCAAGCAGTGCAAGAGTTCGCTCCGGGATGTCCTCTTGTCAATGCCGGGTTCCCATATCTCGATATTGGTCGTGCACATCCAGGGATATATTCAAAGGAAGTTTAGTGTGCAAAACTTCCGTGTTACGGACATTCAACAGCTGTTCAACCACCACTCATCATACACCACTCATCATACACCACTCATCATACACCACTCATCATACACCCACTCATCATACACCACTCATCATACACCACTCATCATACA